CTCTCTCTCTCTCTCTCTCTCTCTCTCTCTCTCTCTCTCTCTCTCTCTCTCCCCCTTCGGGTGGTTTGCATCAACTGTCGGGGATCGAGGACGTGTGGCCCTTGTCCCTCAGGTATATACTTCTCTTTCTCTCTCTCTTTCTCTCTCTCTCTTTCTCTCTCTCTTTCTATTTCTCTCTCTCTCTTTCTCTCTTTCTATCTCTCTCTCTGTCTATCTATCTATCTATCTCTCTCTCCCCTCGGGTGGTTTGCATCAACTGTCGGGGATCGAGGACGTGTTGTCTTTGTCCCACAGGTATCTTTCTCCCTCTCTTTTTCTCTCCCTCTCTCTCTCTTTCTCTATATATCTCTATCTATCTATCTATCTATCTCTCTCCCACTCTCTTTCTCTCCCTGTCTCTCTCTCTCTTTCTCTCTCTCTCTCTCTCTTTATCTATATCTCTCAGTCTCTCTCTTTCTTTCTTTCTTTCCTTCTCTCTTAGGGCAAGGGGAAGGGGCCAAGGGTAGGGAGGGGAAGAGAGATGAAGAAGACAAGGGTGGTAGAGGGTAAGAATAAGACAACTCTCAGAGGAATGAAAGAGGAATGAAAGAAGAAAGGGGAAAAGTGAAGGGGAAGAGAGGAGGGAGAAGGTAAGGAGAACGGAAGAGGCAGGGGATGATTGTAAGAAAAGAAGGAGAAGAAAGGAGGGAGAGATAAAATTAACTAAACCTAAACTAAACTCATACATATTAATTAGTATTAGCCAGTGTTTAACCTTATTGGTACGTCGTGTTTTACTATCGTATCCATACGACGTGGGGAACTCTGTGCCACCATTTTCCAAAGAGGAAATTTATCCGTTAATCCGATCCATAGGCTTTTTATAGAAGTTTGTCAAAATATATTTTGGAGAAATACTGAAAGTTTCAAAGAGATCTTCATACTAGAAGTATTCCAAAATGGGAAGAATACAACCTCGGGGTACAAAATGACCCCAGGGCGTACGGAAAGGGTAAGTTTTATTAGGGCTTTTACAAGTTATTGTTACTGTAATGAGCCATTCTGTATTTTTCAGGTTACCAAGGCGACGGTGTGACGTGTACGTACGTGGGTCAGTGCAGTAGCAACAATGGTGGATGTCATCCTTTGGCCACTTGCCTGGAGTCTGGTGCGTACTGTTGGAAACACACATACACATAAACACAAATGCACATTCACACACATACGCATGCACATGCACACACACATACACATACATGCATAAACAAACATACAAGCTGACACAAACACCAGACAAGCACATACACACACACTCACACACACACACACATACACACACACTCTCACACACACACACACATACACACACACTCAGACACACACACAC